GGTATCGACTTTGTGGGTGATGGGTGTCGCGCAGAGAGGGTGCAAAAAGGGGACACCGCGTCCTCACTTTTTTTTTTTTTTTTTTTTTTTTTTTTTACACCGATGGTGTTTACTTTTCCAAGTAATTAGCATAAAACCGCAGCTGCTGCTTACAGCATGTACATTCTGCGCTACAGTAACTATACGCATGTAAACTCCGTAAAGTGTGACTGCACGCGTTTTCTTGGTCACATATTGTGTACAAACATACAGGGGCAGGGTGGAGGGGGTGCATGACATACACTCGGAGCTTTGGTTGAAATAATTGCCCTAATCCGATTACGAAACAAAGCCGAGGGTAAAATGTGTACATACATATATACATATATATATATATATATATATATATAAATGGTAACCGGGAAAATTTAATGGATGGGGGTGTAAAATATACAGATGAAAAGGTTGACGCTTATGGCCCTTTACGGCAAGCTGTTTCTCGCTCGTATATCATATACCGCATACCCCGATGGGCCCTACATCGATTATTAATCTATTTGTCTCTTGAAATCCCTACTGCGTATGCGAGCGCGGACAAACGAAACGCGCACGCGTCGTTTTTTTTTTTTTTTTTTTACGCAATATACAATGTAGGTATAAGAGAAATCACGAGTTAGCGGAGATTTCAGTTGAATTAATAAATTGTACCTAAATGTTTTTTATGTTTCAATTTTTATTAAATTACATAAAAGAGAAAAGTTCAACATTGAAAATGTAAATTTGAATCAAATATTCAATCAAAACGGGTGCATGGAGGGGGTGGGAAAAAGGAACGGAGGACGCAATATCGGGTCCTGTCGCGTATCCGCGGAGGATGAGCCGTATCAAAAGCGTGCACGGGCAGCTGGTGCAAACGAGTATTGAAAGAAAAAAAAAAAAAAAAAAAAAAAAAAAAAAAAAAAAAAAAGGATTTCGGTGTCGGCGCGCCAGCGGAATAATATTCGTTGCATTTGAACGGAAAGTTTCAATAAAAAGAAAGCCACGCCGCTGGGCGCAAGCTGTTTCTTCCAGCGGACACTGTTTTCCTTATGAGCTTCGAGAAAATTGCTTCTCTCCGGCTGCACACTTTATTTTTTATCTTCCCGATCTTATCTCTCGTGACTTTTACCATTCGTTTTTTTACAATTGTTTTTTTTAATATTATTATCATCCGAGTGGTGAAAAAAAATAGAACTGCCAATTGGTTGGGAGGGGAGTAATTAACCAATGAGATGTAGTATGAAAATAATCAGCCTGATACTTACACCTTTGTTAAATAATAAATACTCGTCTAAGGCATGCACGTTTGAAACATAACGTACGCCATCTATTGAACCACCTTGGAGTATGTGCGGGCATCTCTCTCAACGGGTAAGGAAATCTGTAACGGACGAGCAAAAATAGTATGGCTGATATATTTTAGGTTTGATCTCTACGGCAAAAAATTTATACGTATGCGTCAATTAAAGTTTTTTATACTACATGCTCATAAAATGCACTGTATATCGTGTGAATAAGCGTTTTAAATAAATGATATATACCAAATCGACGGTTCATCACTTTGTAAACCAGTTTTACTGCGTAGATTGAACAACTGTTTTTTTTTCTCATGCAATTTTGGCACTGAATTTGTCTGTAAGGTACCAAACATGTCTGTGGAGGAGGTTTCACATCCTGTCGTCTTCTTTAATCATTTGTATAAATCTGGCTAAATATATGGTATATTAATGGGTCGCTCGAGTTATTTTTCTAATGTCTATCAACTCATTGCTATGATGAAAAACCCACTTGGATTTAAAGTGCACACGTACAGATGCACAAGTGACGTTATATGAGCACCAACTGCTCAAGTACACCTAGCTATAATATATGATATAAACGTAGTATAATAGTACGAGATACCGCCTGCTGTCCACATCAGAAAGAGGGAGAGCATCAAGATCCCATGTCCCCGGTTGAGTGTTGGTATATATAAGTATATGTTACACACAAGGTCCACGTGAGAATTCGTTAAAAATGAGTTTTAAACGAGCCATTGTGTTACCGATTTCTCTCCCCGTAGCAGCATCTCTTTTCTGTCCTCGACAGCAGCAATGAGACAATCATCGCTCATTTGGAAACGGCTCCCAACAACCACCACCCAAGTAAGTATATATATATATGTATGTATATACCTTGAGAGTATAAACGAGCCAACCAATGCACACCTTTTAATGCCCCCTCCTAATCCGGCTCCATTGAAATCGAAATACCGGTAAATAGCCGGAGCGCGCGCACACACGTCAACCGAGCGACACGCCGTTAGCACAGCCCATAAACTATATCGCGCCCATTTCCCCGAAATCCGAGTAATGTGCCCACACACGTATAACTACATACCTACGAGGGGTTGTATAGTGGTAGAACGAGCCCATAAACACCAAGGTGACTTTTTTTCCTCTCCTCTTTATATTGTATAATATAATGGCGGTGGTGGATGGGTGCGATGCTATAACCCTGGAAAATAAAATTAAATCAAAAAAAAAAAAAAAAAAAAAAAGTTTATACGGTGGTATAGGTGGGCACAGTATACTTATAATAAAAGAAGGAGGAAGGGGAGGCGATAATTTTGATGAATACCCCCGACACGGCCCAATGTATATTGTACCCTATAACACGTACAAGCCCCCGTGGCCCTGCTCGACAAAATATAAAAAGGAATGTTGGTTTTGCCCAACGCATGTATATATGTATGGTTATTTTCGATGAGGTGTGTGTAGTGAAGCTACATATACATATATACGTATAGGTATATAATGGGATGGGCCCACTCTCGGGTGTTGATGCATGGCGCTTAGCGGGGGGTGCCACGCACGATATGCAGGGTATCTCTCTTTCGTTTCAAATGAGAGAAAAGGGGGTTAAATTTCGTGCATTGGGTATATATATATACATATATCAACAACACAATATAATATGCGCAATGGGGCAGGTAGAGCTGACATAGACCCCCGTGGACACTAGGCGCGGACCACGATGCATCCTTATACCGTAGGCCCCGCTACGCGTCCATCACGCGTCAAAGTTTTATGTATTTAGACGTATCCTCCGTGTATCCTCATTTTTCTTACTCCTCCTTGCTACCTCTGCTTCTCAACGATATATACACGTATATGTATGTTCATCACGTGGGGGTATACCGATATGTAACACCGCTGCTGCTGGGTTGCGCTTTTTTTTACGCACGTATACATACACGCGCCATTGCCTCTTTTTGCCTCTTTTGTTCTATATTCTAAAGTATGTTTTGTTCATCTCCAGACGAAAGACACGTTAGTCTCCGAGCAGGGATGGCCCATCTTTTCTAACTCGATTGGATTTTTCTTTTTACTTCATGCGTTGATCTTTTATTTTTACATTTCTCTCGGTATAGTGTACGATCGTTGTTGTACCGGTGTCAGTTTAAGTCAATTTTTTTTTTTTTTTCAAGTACTTGTACGCGTGCGATTCAAATATCCATCAGAGTCGATCAAAGATCAAACATGGCACGCAATAATTAATACACACGAGTCGTTTCCGAGAGCTGACGTAAGTGGACTAATGAAAGTCGAGAGATGGACGGCGGGTCATTTGTTTGCACGAGGCAGAGGCAACGCAACATCTTTTTTTTTTTTCCTCGAACATCATGAGTTCATTACGGGATCGATTAATCACGTTAATCCTCGGTTTTTTTTACTGTGGCTTGTCCCCTATACATATATAGGTATGTTTGTACGCGTATGGTTACACATTCCAATAATCCTCAACCTTATGAAATCTTTACAATACCAAAATGTGTAGTTACGAGCAAACATCAACTTGACATATTATTTATAATTGAGAGCATTTTATAGACTTGGAGGGCGAGCCCCACAATAACTTGCCATAGATATATAATTATGGATAAATTACAGGTGCGCCGTACCGGCCATTACAGGAGCACTTACCGGCGTCCTTCCATTGTGCGCGCGTTAAAAAAGAAAAGCGCTCCACGCCCGTGTACAGCCGCAACACAATAGGAGCTCGTCTTATCTGTCCTCCGGAGGCGAACAGAAGGAGTACACGTTACTTTTACAGAACACCTATGTACTTACATACGTTGCAAAAGAGGATTCGAGTGCAATATACCTGTACTACGACGCGTATACCTATATGTGCAGAGAACAAACATTTACAAGGAGGAGGAGGAGGAGGAGAAGATGCGCAGTAGATGATGATACATGGGGGGCTATCAGCGTGTGGTCCCATCATCGTTGTCGTGCCTGCACTGTACGCGCACATCCTATATAAATCCTTTGAGCGATCGACGACGCGCTACTCAAGAGAGCCTCGTATATGCACGTGTTATTCGTTCGAGTCGAAGAGCGATGAATTTTTTTATGGTAATATATATATGTATACGCCTCCTCCGCTGCCATCGATCACCGCGATATTTGTTTAGTCGCCCTCGCGCGTCCATCTATTATTATTATTATTACACTTTGACTGATACGAATTTTGTCCGTTCGTGTAACAGGCAAATCGCATAACGCAAAACGCCAGTGCTACGTTATATCAGAGTTGCGGAATGAGCTCACTCTTATTATGCAGATAGATGCATTAAACGCACGCGTGATACAAAAAGCAACGGTATATCAAGGGGCATGTGGATACGTTATTTTATTTTTTTTTTTTTTCGATCCGCGTTCTCGCGCTCGCGGTTTTAAAAGTGACGCGACGCGCCGCCGAATCGCTGATTTACGCGGAGTAATTAGTCCTGAAGTAATCAAGTTTATTCATGAGCCAATTAGACGACGCCTCCGATCTGCTCCTCTTGTTTTCTTTTTCGAAACTTGCGTCCTCGATTCTCCCAGTGCCTCCCCATTTCTCTCGCTTTACATACATCACTGCGATTTATTCAACGAATCGTCGTTTTATTTTTATCGTAAACTGATGGGATTGATTTTTTAAAAATTTTCCCTCGTTTAATTTACAAAATTTTATGTATTTCCATACTTAAGCCTATATGCACTGCGTTAAAATCGGCGTTAGTTTACATAAATAATATCTACATAATACTATATATTTTTCATTTTCGTTTGAATTGTATAAATAAAAACGTAGCACGTTTACGCGCGTACAAAATGGGTTAATGAAACGTAAAAAAATAATAATCTCTTAGCCAATAGTTGCGCGAAATGTACAACAGTGGAATGAACTTCCAGGTGCGTGATTTTTGGCAGCAAACAAAAAAAAAAGAATAAAATAAAATAAAAATACATTGGTTCGTTCTACTCTCGCCTGACGTACGGCCTCGGTTGCACCGTAAAGTTGACAAAACCGTCGACGTCGTCGAGTTCCTTGGAGTAAAATTTCGCGGCTATCGTGGCTCTGCCCTCGTACTCGGGGTACATCGAGAACCGACAGACCGCCTCGGCACCGACCTCCACGTTCTCGGTGAGCTTGAGCTTTATCTGCTCCCTCAAGCCCGGGCCCTCGATGAGAAACTTGCCCCGCCTCAACGGGATCGGCAGCGGGTTCGTGAAACGCGCCACCGCCTCGAGCAGCTCACCGGCGCATGGCTCGTTCTCCAACTTTTAATGCAAACCAAAAAAAAAAATAAATAAATAACCGTTGTAGTTTTTGAAAAAAAGGGGACGAGAGATGGTGCTCACCTCGATCTTTATGTCGGGCTTCCTGACGCGGAAGTCGTCCTGCGCAAAGTACTCGAAATTCGTGTCCTTGACGGTGGCGAGGCAGGATATGTTGAAGGCGCCCTGGTCGAGCAGCCGCGGCCCGTACTCGTCCCAGGACACCTCGAGTCGCACCTCGTCCGTCTGGCCGGGTCTGATGAAACGCTCGCTGTCCGACCGCTTGACCGCGTCGCCCACTCGGCCCGTGTACGTGACCACTTCCACGCGCAGTATCACCGACACCTGGTACGTTTGCGAGTAGCTGTGGTTCTTTATCACCAGCACGACGCTGCGGTGGAGAGAGGGAAACGAAATTTTCATGTTCATTACCTCGTTTGAGAATTGAAAGGTTTGTTATACCTGAAGGGCTGGCCGATCACGATGTCGTCCCTCAGCTCAAAGTTGAACATTATGTCGTTGAACTCCTCGTTGAGGTAGTAACGGCTGAACAGCGACTCGCTCTGCCGCAGCGCCTTCAGCATGGCAGCCCGCTCTTCGTCCGACTCTACGTTTTTTTTGAAAGTAAGCAACATCCGTCAGGCGCGCGTTTCGAATTTAAAAAAAAAAATAACCAATAACCAATATCCCAACCGCGTCGCTCCCATGTCTGTGTACTTACTCTCCGGGTACTTGTACGTGTGCGTTATATCCTCGCGTTCCCAGCTACCGACCGCCTTCGTACTTATGTTCTGTCCGATTCTAGAAGCAATGTAAAGCTTATATTTATAGGGCACCATTGGTGTGTGTAAAAAAACAAAGCACCTTACCCGTAAATGTCCTTCCGCACAAGCTTGAGCGGCTGGGAGGGTCCGTTGTATCTCCAGAAGACCTTGTCGGCGTTGACCTCGGCAAAGACGAAGCCGTTGTCGTAGGGACGGTGTACGTCGGCGCGTTTGACGGCGGCCACGGAAGCCGGGCCGAGCCGGTAGGCGTCCTCGCTCAGCTCCTGGGGAGTGGCGTCGATCACCTGCCAGCCGTGGCAGTCGGCCGTCAGGTCCAGTCTCTTCATCCACACCTCGTTCCAGACGTGAAAGTTCCTGGTGGACCGAGAACCAACAACGACAGACGATAAACATAACCTCCACAACCGAGATACCCTTTCACACCATCACCCACCATATGGAGTCACTGTTGAGCTCTTCCATGATCTTGCCGTCCTCGTCGACAAAGTAGTCGACCGTGAGGCTGTTTTGGGTGTCGTGGGCGCTCGAGTAGTTGGTGACGACTCGACAGGGCAGGCCGAGGGTTCGGCAGACGGTGGCGAGGACACCGGCAAACACCCAACACTGGCCGTACTTGACGGGCCTCCTCGTCTGGTAGTACTGCTGGAGGATCTTTTGCGAGCCCACCCACTGGGACGGCTGCGTGCCCCCGGAAAAGTCCTCGGTCCAGTTGCCCATCACCACGCCGTAGTCGTCGGGCGAGTTGACCTGTACCATGGGGGGAGGAGAGTTTATGTGATTTCTCGATGGGCAAAGTTGTAAAAAATATACTTATGACTCACCGCAGCCGAGAGAACACGGGTGACAACGACGGGGTCGTTGCGAGCGGATATCCGGACCTTTCCCACGTTCGTTATCATGTGGAGGGCACAGTCGAGTATGTCCGTCTCGAATTGCGAGTACTTCCACACGGACGGTCTCATCCGGTTGCCGGTGCCTCGCCATATGAGGCCGGTGTCCGCCAAAACGTACTCCTGGCGCTCCGACTCGTTTCCCAAGTACACCAAGTCCTCTGAAATGCGTCCGATTGTCATACACTGTCTTTTACCTATTGTGCAAACGAGGCGATTCGTTTGCATATAATAAACCCCTCGCCAGAGTAATTGATCTCTGGTGGCGTCGATTTGCATTTCGAATGACAGCTCGAAGGTTTTACTTGTGGTAATGAGACGAGCCGTCACACAAAAGTACATGCAAGCATAACATAAATGCGCACTTTTAAGTTTGTTACGCGCAAACAATCGATGGCGCATTTACGTACAATAGTGCACGACATTAGATATAAAATGGCACACCAGTTGTAATGGCATCCAATCAATTTCTTTTGTTTAGCAATAAACGTAATTATTGTCCCGCGTTTCGTATTACTCACGAACGAATGATCTATATAATAGCCATTGCCTTGTGTCCATTTTCACTATCATCATCGTCGCCGTCGTCATCGTCACGAGCTATAAAATAAATATGGTCCTTCTAGCGAGGCATTATTTATTCTATTTAATTAAATCACGCATGACGGCTCGCTTATAAGGGGGTGGAGTGCACATGTAATACATAAAAATGCAATCAACTAAAACGGTACTATGATGGATGGTTACACGTGTGTATAGCAACTTAAAGATTCTATTTTTCATCACACAAGTATGTAATACATGTATTTATATGTACGACTCACCTCGGCACCAAGGATTGAATATCATGTAAAACGGATGGTCAACGGTGAAACTGACCGCGCCCTCGGAGTCTCGTCTTTTCGTATCAATGTCTATCCGCCACTTTCCGACAATGGCATCCGCTGCCGGAGTAACCTTAGGATCAAAAGTGCACACAGGTATTACCCGCTTATAATTTTTATTCTTATTTTTTTACGCTCGAGCACGTCAAAATCTGAGCTCCATTGTATACGGTCGATTGGATGTAAAAATCGGATACTAATGCAGAGCCAAATTCCAAGAGGGACCATTATGATTTTGTCGAAAAAAAAACCGAGCTCGTTTTGTTTTTAATGCTGCAAACAAGGGGCTGATATATGAAAATTCAAGATTGTTCCCCCCCCCCCCACATACGTCACATTCGCGAGGGTTCACATAATATATTCATTCATTGAGTATCGGCAAGGTTTAACCACGTGACGTTAAAAAGTACAACTCCCAGTGGCGTGAAAAAGGAAAAGAAATAATACCCACCTTGATCCTGAGTGAGTTGTCGGCGTAGGCCTGGACGACGGTCTGCCAGGCGCCGTCGGACACCTCGTTCGGATGCAAGACGGGGGAGGCGACGAGGGTGCCGTGCCCGTACTGCGGCCTCTCGACACCGTCGAGGGTACACACGATGGACATGCCATCGATGGCGGGGTCGTAGTTGCGCGACAGCGTCAACTCGAGGAGGAAGGACTGGCCGCGACGCACGACCAGCCGGGCTTGGCCGCTCGGCCGATTCGACACCTCGTAGCGCGCGGTGCGGTGGGCCTTCGCGTTCTCCGGCACGCAGTAGTCCACGTGGACGATCGTCAGCACCGATCGCGAGTAGTTCTCCCCTGAAACCCACCGGAGAGAGACAAGTTTTTTTTTTTTTTCATTCTGCTCATTGTTTTTCGTCCTATCGAGTTGTGATGATTAAATTGACATGATGGGTGATGGCTGGGACACTCTCTGGATAACACACGCACACGCACAAGATGACGCTCGATGGATAATCGTGTGATGATGACACTTGTATATGAGCTAGTCTAAGCGATAAAACATAATGGTGGAGGAAAACAAAAAAGCAAGTAATAACGTGCGCGAAGGTATTTACACTGTGCGGTCATCTCCCGTCGAATGAGCACCGCGAGCGCGTCTTTTCGACTATTTATAAACTTTTTTTTTCTCTCTCTCTCTACTCCTCTCACTTTTTTTCTGTACATAAAAACACCCGGTGCGTACATGTGTAACGCGTGCGAGCACTTGACAGTGAATTATTCAGGAAATACCCGCGCCGATCGTCAAGGAGAACACATTGCACAGGTGCACAGAAACCGATCGGTAATCCTACGCAGCCAGCGAAAATATTTCCGCGCATGGGTTCGCGGCGATTTGAAATATTCAAACCCCGACGAGGATGTACTTGCGAGTATATATACGCAATATACTTATAGCGCAACGAGTGTTCGTATATTATACTGTTGCAAGAACCGTTTACGATGTATATATAGATAAGAGTCTCTGTACCGAAGCGCCAAAGAGTCCTGCCTCCTCAGCGTAGTAATTATTTGTAATTGTAATTAAATTGTAATCCCCCAGATGTATTTAACTTTGGCGTGCGATAAGATCGCCGTTGTATAACTTTTAACTAAAAAAAAAAAAAAAAAAAATCGTTTTACGTAACTTCGTTTGCGACAAAGGAAAGCGACACTTTTGGTATGCAACGTCTTAAAAGAAAGAGAGAAGGGGGGGGGGGAGGAAGAGAAAAAACTCACAATAAAACTTGTACGGGAAAGGCTTCCGCCTGCGATCGTTGAAGATCCGATAACGATCGTAAAATCGGTAAAACATCTCGGCTGCGACGCAAACTAATAGCCAAAAGCAAAAGAAAAAAAGAAAAAAAAAGCAAATAATGTGTAGCGATCACGGCATAAAGCGGAAAAACCGGTGATAAGCGTCGGCTATTTGAAATTCGCGGCACGTGCGCGTCCGAGAGACTGAGCGCTAAGCTCCTCGGCACAGCTGTACTCTCGTTTTGAACGCATGGGCTTGCTATGTGCCGATCCCATATACATGCATTGTTATTTTTGTTATTCAACTCTCTCCTGTGTATACTATCCGCGGGAGTCGGCAAACCTCGCCAACGGGCACACGTGGGCGCGGGTAATGCCGCGGCGATCCGCTCGCCTCCTTTTCTTGCCCCACTTGAACAGCCGCGCCGAGAGCACGGGGGGACAGTTAATTTTAAAAATCCGTAGCGGGGAAGGGGAGCTCCTCAAGGCTCTCCTATAGATGGTACCATAAATGGTTCCTGAGCGTATAGGTCACCGTCTAATGCACACAGAGTACTTATACATAGAAAACAGAGGCTCAACTGGTGAGTATCGAGTGGGAGCGCGAGCACACCTGTGCATGTTGTCATCCGTTTAGTTTTAATCACTCCCGCGTCGACGACGATGAGGACATTATGTTTATCACGCGCATGTACCTATAAACGTTATGAATTATATCACCGGCTTGAATGACGTCTTAGAATAATATATTGTCAGCCATATGATTTCCTGTCGCACTACAATGTGTATGCATTATATATAAATGTAGATGTACGTTTTTATTTGCTAAACTGTCCGCCGTACGATCGAGTTTGCGCAAATTTATGTTTTTCTTCGATTGTGAAGGTAGTGCTCATATATGCACGTACTCGACTGGATTTCCCGATTGTGGGGAAAAAAAACCGTTGTCGTATGTTCAGCGATCACTTGTCCATCAAAGTGTGAACAATTTCGTTCCATCCAGTAAAATTGCGAAAATACTTGCCGAAGAGTCATGAAAACAACAGTTCGAGTGTAACGGATGAGAATTGCGTGTCATCGTAAAAATTAATCGATTCCGCTTGAGCAGCTCGACGGATATCGGCAAAATACGTGAGAGACAAAAACACCCACGCACCAACGGCTTCTCGAGTGTGTTTTTCTTGTTTTTTTTTTTTCCCACAGCAAGTGTTTCCCGCGTTTTACGGATCGAAAATTGCGTGCACGCGACTGTCAATTTGAAAAAATTACGCGGCCTATTGTATGTACCTTTTACATCGGTAAAACTATGTGTCAATCGATACGATTGTTCCGATTTTCCGCTATTAATCTCAAAACTGTAATCACCTATGCTATTTGTCGCAAGTGATTTACATAGTATACGATATTCGCATTGAAGTCATAATCATCGCCCGATTTATTATTCGCGCGATCGGATGTACACCAAAAAAGGAACATGTCGCACGCGATTAATTGACTATTCGACGAACTATTGAATCCGCGAGTGCCAATGTTGTCACCACAGCTGTAACTGCGTCTATAAATAATATAAAAAAAAAAAAAAAAAAAAAAAAAAAAATTCCACCGTCGCAAAGAGAGCGCGTAAATAATCACCTTATTGCTTTTCGTTGCTTCCGATTTCAGGGTTATACGCGCTCTTTGAGGACAATCACTTTGAATTTTTCGCGCGAGACCGACAAAACAACAGCATTAGGTACGTACACGTTATAGGTATGACATCATACGGACGAATTCCGCGCATAACAACTATGTAGTAAAAAAGTGGTAATAATAATAATACGTATTGCGCAATCGAAATATTTCCGAAGGCTCGCCCACTGAGTGATGCACGCGAGGGGGACATAGAGGAAGATTATGAGGAACGAGCGTATAAATATGTGTATATAAAAATATTGTGTACACGTAAAAGTGAGATGCGGACGGTCGTGCTTCGATGAGGCTGCGCCTTCTTAACGAAGTCAAGGTCCATTTTGCCCGTGTACACCTATTTGCGTTGCGCGGAAGCTCGACGGGCTTATCGGAAAGTATAAAGATAGTTTTCAAAAAGAAAAAAAGTCTTAAGAACCCGTAAAATATTTACGAGAAAGTGAATCATCTCTTTATTTTTTTTTTTTTTTTTTTTTTTACCAAGATATTATTTACTCTGAACCGTTGTCTAGTGAGAATATGGTATTTTTTGTAGTAAGAAAAGCACGTCTTTTCGTATAATAATGACAAATCACGCGGCGTTTATTTCACGCGTTAAACGTACCGTGTAACGTGTACGCGAGAGCATTTACATCGGCAATAATATTTAGTTGTACGTCGTTTGTCTCTCGGGACCAAGGGTCATTACTATTTCTCGACAAGCGGCGCTAAATTAAACTGGACGTGCCGACGAATCGCTTCTTCTCTGCGTGCGTATACTACGTGCAAGTAAAACAATCCACGCGAAGCCGCCCACGTTGCACGCGTGTTTTGGCAAATATCGGTACCCTTTAAAAATAGATCGATGCCTTCGTTGGAGCACCACGCCATTATTATTAATCGGTTCAGCGAATCACGCGCTGCACACCCTTTTACGTAAAATAGGTATATATCATATATACCGTTTACAAAAAAAAGCAAATTAAAAAAAAAAAAAAATTACTATGTGTAGAATTTTCTATTTGCGTCCACCACCTTGTAACCGGTGCAAAACTATTTCCAGAATTCAATCGGTTCCGCATCGGCATCCCTCCAGAGTGGCACTTCTCCTATTTTCGCTCCGCTGCGCTCTTCTGCGTAAATTGACAAAAACGCGGTGCTACACGAGGCTGTAAACCGATTCTATTTTCGAGCCAACATCGGCCGCCGCGAAAATTGGTTTTAACGATACTTTCCACCGTTGCTAGCGTTATAGTTTTTTTTTTTTTTTTTTTTTCATTTCTCGCACGATACGAGGGTGCATCTAATAATACGCGCGAGCTAATTATAGACGAAAATCAGAACGCTTTAATGGAGATTGAAGTTTCCCCTCTCCCCCACCTTACGGCTGATCGTCAGGGGATGCCATTATTGGAAGCGCGCGTTTCGCAATATCGGAGTGACGATTTCAAACCGTTGACGCGTGTGTTAACAGTTTTTTGGTTTTCGCGGAAAAAAGGAAGAGCGGTTTTCAAAAGTGACGTTTTTGGGATTGTAGCGCGATAGTTTACCATGTTCTCATTCAAATCTTTGCGTGGGGACGTTTTTTCATCGTGACAAAGTGACCCAGAGAGTACGGTGACACTTGTGTTTTGTTCGACGGTTTTGTACTTAATACGCGGACGGGCGTGAAAATTGACGCGCAGAGTTCGCCTTTTCTTTTGGAGATCGGCAAGGCGATAAGATAATCTATCATCGAGTAGTGAGTCGAACGGCATTAATTGCGCAACGAAATCGGTGGAATTCGTTTGTACAACGTATACACAAGCCTCTTTTTATGAAAATTCATGAGATAAGTGGAAAAAACATGTAGTATACGAATCGCTTGAGCAACCGCTGTGACATTCATTCCTGCAAAAGCCTAAAAATACTTTATTATCAATTGTTCATGCAAAATCGCTAATTGTATTGTATTGCTTTTTTTTTCTTTTTTTTTTTTTTTTTTATAACTTTTGACCATCGTTGTAAAACTCACCATGAACAGTCAGCTCCGGAGGCTTAGGCAAGCACTCGGGCTTGTTGCAGACCGGCACGACGTTCCTTCCTCGCGGAGGTGGACTCAATAGCAACTTCAACTTGTAACAGCACGACGAACAATTACCCATGATTTTTTTCGTTCTTTTCGCACACAAGTACTCTCTTTCTCTCTCTCTCTCTTTCACGCTCTCTAGTCTAGTACACCTACTAAAAAAAAAGGCTAAAGACTACAAACTACTTTCCAAAACACTTCCACCCTCTTACGATTCTCTCGGGGTCCCAGCGATAACGTTCCCACGATCTTCTCATTTTTTGCTTGTCTTTTTCGCAAAAATCAATAAAGTGTTCCTTTTTTTTTTTTTGCAATTACGTGGACCCGATCTCCGTCGACTAGCCTTGCCAGCGAGCAAATGTGGACTCTCTGTCAGCGCTCCCGATCCATTAGGCGTAGGTAGACCACTGTAGCGCGCGCGTGCACTCCCGCCCATATCTAATACTGTAAGTAGGTACTACGGAATCTCCTCCCGCCCATTGGTAGCAACATCATCTCTTATTTGGCGGCGGGCAGTGACGTTTTTCCGAGAACGCTATACTTGCTATCATCGTTTGATGCTTGAGGACAAAACGAGAGTTGGAGGTGGCAACTTGCTTTGCCCGATTTTTTATTTTTTTTTTATTTTTTTTTATTTTGGCCTTCGTTTTTTTGTTGTGGAAGAGAGGGAAAGACGGGAATTTCCAAGGTCCATAAGGGCTGTGCTTGGGAGCTTTTGGATGAAGGACATTCACAGAATAACGTCATCAGTTGTAATTTCATTAGGATTCATGAGTTTTTTTTTTTAGTAACGCACACACTTTTTGAACGGCTAAAGTGTCACTGAAAATGATGAAACGAATGCGAGAACATATGATTCATAGCGTGGATGTTATGGTAGATGTACAATTATCGCGAATCATAAACGCAATAGTTAAGTAATCAAGACTGTAATAAAGCTTATTTTCGATCTACAAACAAAAGTATGAAATAAAAAAAGTATATAATTTTATTTCAACCAACTGACTCTTTTTTTTTTTTTTTTTTTTTTTGTTCACATAACTGATAGTTTTGCGGCATCATTTGTTTATCATATTTTATAACTGAAAAATCAATTCTAACAAGGGGTAATTAATTAAAAAGTTGACTTAAAAGTATGCAGTTACCAGATTGCCGTTTAAACATGCTTTATACAAGTATCACTCTAATAATGAATCTTAACAAATTAATAAAATTTCATTAAATAAATTCACATTTTCAATCCAGGTGGTATGAGCTCGTGTGCATCATCTTCTTTTTGATAGACAATGTGTTCAACATCTCTGTTGTCTTCTAGGACAATTACACTTTTTGTGAAATCTTTCAGCTGAATAAACAAATATCTGTATACCCAATTTCTATCTGAATCCTAAAAAGTATTTTAATGAATAATTTTATTCACAAGGATATTCAAAAACATGCTCCAAAGTAAATTGGCAAGCAGCTTACTTCTCTCATTTCCAAGTGCACGGTGCCTTCTTTACGGGATCCTTGGATGTAAAATTTCATTCGCATACGATTAACTCCATCCTCTCCTCTGTACACTGAATGTCTGAAGGGGACAGTTATCTCATTGAAAAACCATAAAGATTGTGTGATGACATTGAATAGAAAGTTTAGCTGCTTGAAAATTAACTTACTGAACATGGCCTCTTCTGCCCCTTCTGGTCTCTTCCCCAAAAGCTTTGATAGGCTCTCCAATTGCATCGCAAACCTTTGGATCTCTCACACATCTGATAAATGCATTATTATAAACTCCGTTTGGACTTTTACTAGAAAACAATTCTTTAAAAACGGCATAAAAAATCGCACCAGTTCCAGCAACACCGGCAACAATAACAGTCAAGTACCAAGCAGACTTGGTATTTTCTTTAACTGAAAAAAAAAATACGAAATCAATTTGAATAAAGTAATATTGAATTAGGCACGCAAAAGAGGATTCATGAAGAAAACAATTCAGTTTACCTACTTCAGCAAAGCCAACCTGTACCTGGCCTTCGGAATCCTTTTGTTCAGATTTTGCTACAAGTTTCTGACCAGCATATGTCAATTGTTGCACACAAAGTGGCAGATAAACATTTTTGCTTTTCAGCAGGTTCATTGGCCTATTACACGGCAATAAATTCCTCTGCCTAATCAAGCACATTAGTGCTCTTGACATTGCCATGCTGTGGAACCACTTAAACCAACATCATTTTAAACTACAAACAATTCACTAAGGTTAAAAAGTACGAAAAAACTTGGCACCCAAACCCCCAGAGACCCAAAATACGAGTATACTTTTGCTTCGTGAGAAGGGTATACTTATGTATTATAATATAGATACTCCAAAAGTATAAACATTACAACACTAACGGTAATATAAAATAATTGTAGTGATATTATAAGTATACACTGATATAGGCGCAGATTGCTGATTGCCGGCTATTTAGGCATAGACATTTCAGGCAAACTCAGCTGATTATGATGAAAGTTGCTTAACCGGTACCAAGTCGCTATCACCAATCGATATGCAAGGGTCGAGAGCAAAATCATACATTTTTTTTTATTAATATAAAGAATTTTTTAAAAAGTTTATTTTTTCAGTGTATACATATGCTTTAAGGTTGGCATAAATCATTATTTCTTCCAAAGTGCTGTAAGGGGGTAAATTGTGCGAGCAACCCCTTTTTTTAGCGTGGGTGCAGTGGTTTTCGCACGAAACAATAAGTGAATGCTTCCGAATTTCAGAGCAAAAATAACTGAGCATTCAACGAGAACAACAACAAATATCCTGTTCTTCGTTGTACAAACAAGCAAAATCATTGATGACAACTTATTTATCCGTATAAAAGCATTTAATTACGATACTTACTTACTGATCCCTTATTATTATTATCATGTGTCCATTGATTTATGTGTTTGAGAAAATATTATGGATTTACTCTCGTTCCTCATCTACTTATGCGTACATTGTTTGATTCTGATTGATTCTTTGTCAAATTTCGGCAAAGTATGAACATTTCTGGTGTTTACGTGCGCATTGAAAAAAAAAATACATGGGTACCTACACGTATATTATATGGTAATTGTTATCAACACGATAGCAATTACCGCTCTTATTTATTAAAAAAAAAAAAACAAATTCTATGAGATCAAACGCGAGATAAAAAAAAGCTAACATGTCTGATGCGATAGTAATTGTTGACAATTTTCCATTTATTGCGATCACCCTGCTCTGATATCATGATATCATGAGCGTAAACAAACGTACAAAACAAACAGCCACCTGCAGCCGATCGATAAACCGATCGTAACAATTCAATATCACCTGCGTATTTTTAAACAGGGCAAGAGAGAGCACATCGCGTACATAATAATGTATAGCGCGGCACTTTTCCTTTTTCTACAATACTTATCCCCTTTGCCCTTGCTAAAGTACCACATTGGTAAACCTCCATCCCCTAAAACTGCATGCAATGCGCGATTACTTTTTATTAGTCCTATATATTTATAACTAGATTTAGATATCACACACAGCTATAGCATTTCGGTACTCCATAGTTACTCCACTACTCCCCTTTACTCACTACTCAGTCCATAAAGCAGAATGGCGAACATCAGCTGTAGCTGATATGTGATTGAGTGTAATAAAATAATAACAGGAATACAAGTAAAGCATTTAACGTTAAATAAAAAGAATCGAGTAAAGATATTGATAAGTGAGTAAATACGTAAATGCTTTTGATTATTCACGCTGCAATGATTATAGAGTAGTAAGCGCTACTTGCACCAGTTATACTTACCAGTTGCACCTCAGACCTCACACACATCCTTTATCTGTGAGTCTATTGTGCAGTTGTTCTTCGAATACCTTAGATAACAAGAGATTACAGCAATCATAATTACATTTCAATGATAAGTTACAGGCGTGTGTGTGTGTGTGTGTGTACGTATGAGCTCTATCGCTCTATGCATGTAGCATAGCGTATATATAGAGCGAAATAGCGAATAAAGGCTTTAATATATAGCTATTGTTGCAGATTGGAGAACCGCGATAAGATGTGCAAAGCATATATAAGAAAAGTGCATCATAAAGTGCATTGCAGTTAAGTTATATGTATGCAGTAGTACACTTTATACAACTGTAAGACTTGACGAAGGTCCAGTTTAAAGTACAACTGACAGGGCGAGAAAAAGAAAGAGCAAAAGTGTTTGATAAATGCTAGGGTAGGGGTGCTATTAAATACCATGACTCAAGATTCTTTGTCAGCGAAACATAGCGAGCGTGACAATACAGCAATAGAGTATTAATAAAATAACAAGAAAGGGCCCAAAACTGGTATTTGTGTAGGTGGTGGATATTTGGGTAGTACCTAATAATGATGAAAATGTCAAATTGAAGCGGTGATAAGAAGAGAGAGGGATATATATATATATCAAGTATGAAGTGTCGAGTGTGGCAGCTGCTCGTTCCACTTGTTAACAGCGTATTGGAGCGACTGATAAGACGATAGTTCGCCTTAAAAAAGCCCCAAGGCCACGTACCTAACGAGCCTATGATGATCGAATTAAGTAAAGTGGACCCAATATGACGAGCCAGCTCTCTGCCGACATAACCTAGGACGACAAAGTCGACAGCAGCAGAGAATACACCTATGTATAAATTTATATTATAATGTGAACACGTTGATGTCTACGTGCACAGTAAAAATTAACAAAAAGTGAATGAGGCCACCACCTATTGTTGCTGTTGTTGTTCTTGTTGTCAGTGCATTCAAGTATCCGTTACAGAGTTATACCAATAAGAGCCCAAGCTTGCACACGTTGTCCTCACACATACTTAACAGGTGACGTATGTGTGAAGAGAAGAATAATACCTCGTCTCCGTTGACAAGTGTAACCCGGAAGCAAGCAACATTCGGCTCCCAACGTTTAACTTCAATGCCACCTCCGTAGCCGAGCTCTACAACGAGATGCTGGAGACCTGCGAGAAGATCACCCTGGAGAATTTAGCAGGATGGCTGGCCTCCACGGCCATGATTTTTGGTGGCGTGGTGCCCTTTATACCCCAATACAGGGAGATCAAACGCAAGGAAGACACCGAAGGCTTTTCCCTTTATGTCTGCCTTGCCCTTCTGATAGCTAATACACTTCGCATTCTTTTTTGGTACGTATGCTTTACCTATAACGCCATGCACAGCTGATGACGTGTTTATCTTGATTTCATTGTTCCCTACTGTTCTTCCAGGTTTGGCAGGCACTTTGAGATACCATTGCTGTTACAGAGTATACTCATGATCATTGCTATGTTTTTTATGATTAGGCTGTGTGTTAACATTAGAAACAAGCACCAGATCACTAAGCAAAAAGCCAGAGTTTTCAAAGGTGAGTTATTTATCCTCTGCTCTCATTACTTTATGTATTTTGTTTTAACATATCTGTATTATTATTTTACTCACTAACTTGCTTCCAAATTTACTGATTGTAAATCACCAATTTAAATAGTTTAGTAAAAAGTTGACCAATTAGAATTAATTGCGTTATATTTTCAGTTCGTTGGTTTACATTACTTTATTTCGTTATCTTTTTTCTGTTTTTCTATTTTTTTTTGTTTTTTTGTAAAATATGGCTTTAAATAGATTGCAACGCTAAATTTTTTTGGAAATGGACAGACTTCCAGTCATACGTAGGCTTCATGCTACTTTTTACGATTGTGGGAGCTGTAGTGATGTACCTTTTAATTGATGTTCAAATATTTGTGGAGATTATTGGACTGCTTGCTTTACTCACAGAAGCGATGTTGGGGCTTCCTCAATTTATTAGAAATTTCACTAACAAATCAACAGAGGGCATGAGGTACTTGCACTACTTAACAAAAAAAAAAAAATTATTTTCGTTGATAATACAATGAAAATTTTTTAATACAAATAATTTTACTTTCAGTATTGCTATGGTTGCAATGTGGACTTTAGGGGATACATTCAAGACTTGTTATTTTGTACAACGACATGCACCATTACAATTTGGAGTGTGTGGAGGACTCCAAATTTTGATTGATTTGGCAATACTCTTCCAAGTTTGGTTTTACAGAAATAACATTCTAATCATGAGACCAACCGCTAGAGTGGATTAAGTTTCTGTATAAATAGCAACAAATTTGTTTCATTGTTTAGAGAATATGTACATATTGCTAAACTTCGGTTATTTTGTTGATGTTTACATTATTATTACTCATTCAGTCTTAGGTTGAAAAGCGTATTTTTATACAAGCATCGAACCAAATTTTATGGAGATTTATTTAGTTATAATTTTAACTTCGATTTTATTATATCGTTTTTATTGGAGAGCAGGGCTGACCAGCTTATTTTCGATACTTCATTTTATCTTCTTATCTATAGAAATAATTTAGTTTTGGCTTTTTTAATCCATTTACAGCAACAAACTCTAGAATTTTTTATCAAGCTTTGTTCCACTTATTTATTTAATGCATTTCCAATAATGCTTCCACAATCTTGGCCAGTCTTACTCTCCTGCAAGATAGAAAAACTTCCTAGTCTATGTGATGAAATGAATGCGGTTAATTATTTGTAAAACTTTTCATTCATTAAGCTAATGACTTGTACATATTATAAATTATGCATTTACTTAAGATTGAAGTTTGTAAAAAAAAAAAATTATACTGTAAAGAAAATTAAGACAAACAGATAAAGAAAGTGACTAATTTAAAAGTAAATTTCACGAAAGTTTAAGTTTTTCCTCTTGGGCTAAAAGCTGATTTTTAATTTTCTGCAAAAGCTCTTTCTTCACGACGTCTGGCACTCGACTGCGAGCTCTACTTGTGGCCATACTCAGCAGCTCGTCATACGTTATATCCGGGCCGTTTTCCTTAATAATGTCCTTGCAGATCAGCTTCACCTCATCTCGCCATCCGCACTCGACTAATCTGCGCCTCAATAATTCCTTTAAGCTGTAAATATAAAAACCAAAAGAATTACATAATTTATTGAACATCATTTTGTCAACTTTATATTTGAAAAGAAATTATTGATATACATTAAATATACAAGCTGTTTCAATTGAATTTTTCAAGTACCACTCATGAAATTTCAGTAAATTATAGATTAAGCTCCCAAATTATAGGTAAGTCAATAACTTTAAAACACTATCGTATAGATACATTGTTATGTTACAAGCATTAACAACATATCTATTGCAGACAATTACAGAATAAAATTGACTTAGAAGATTGAGCACTAAGACGTGATAAAAATTTCTATACCCATCGCGGTCACCAGCTTTTACTAGAGTTTGATGAGGAGAAGTCTTCATTTTTAACAATAAATAACTTTCGTGGTCCAGTGTCGAATTCAATAATAATAACAATTGTAATGAATCGGTCGAATTTCTTGTAGGTTATACATGTTCTGAAATCAACAAAATATGGAGGAAATTTGACACTGTAGGTGCTAGATGGCGCTGGCGTTTGTTTGTGAAAGTATCGAGTGTCGACTGTCGACTCGACATGTTTCGATCAGATCTTTCATACGGAATCTCGAATCTCGAATGTCTCGGTTAAAATCCAGCTGATTCGAGGTTGGTCTTTCATGTTAAGACAGTAAACCCGGACGGACACCCGTTGCGGCGTCCTCCAACTTTTTAAACAAAATGGTACGTTCTTCGGAGTGCTTAAAAAAAAATATCTTGTGCAAAATTCGCTCAACATACTTTTTCACTAGTGTTGATTTATTTTTTCGTCAATAACCGCGATCGTGGTATAGATGACGATGGATTCGTCAACGACTACGAGACTCGCCTTCCGCGAGGACTAATCTTTTCTTGAATTGTTGACGATCGGAGCTGGTGAATAATCGTGGTGACGACAATCGTTGAGTTTCTTTTTTTTCATAGAATGCCAACAAATGTCGATTTCATTGTTGTTCGGAGTAAATCGACAACTTTTTGTTTACACGTGTAATTTGTGCTGAGGTTAAGTTGCCCTTCCTCTTAACTAACAGTTGTGTTGTGGTTTTAACGTGATGAATTTTGTTTCTTGCTTTGCTTTACATAATTTTCAAATATTAAATCATTTTTCAGTTATAGTTTACATCTCGAACATTCACTAGCTCCATTTTCATATAACTACTTATTGCCAAATGATGATCCACTCAGCTCGCTATGATACATAACTGAAGAAAAAACAATTGTTCCCTAATGTTTTTCACATCTGATTGGCAATAATTAATTACATATTACGTTATTGATAATATTTTTTATGGAACAGTAATGATGGTTATTTATTTATCAACAGGGTTTCGTCAAAGTTGTGAAAAACAAGCAGTACTTCAAGAGGTACCAAGTCAAGTTCAAGAGGCGTCGCGAGGGAAAAACCGATTACTATGCCCGTAAACGGCTCATAATTCAGGACAAAAACAAATACAACACTCCCAAGTACAGGCTGATCGTTCGTAGGTCCAACAAAAATATTACCTGCCAGATTGCTTATTCCAGAATTGAGGGAGACAAGATCGTAGCTGCAGCTTACAGTCATGAGCTCAAAAGGTATGGAATTACCATTGGTCTCACCAACTATGCCGCTGCCTACTGCACTGGACTGCTACTTGCCAGAAGGGTATGTTGAATATATTTATATGATTTTGCATGAATATTTGGTAACTGCAAAATGATGATCCACTCAGCTCGCTATGATACATAACTGAAGAAAAAACAACTGTTCCCTAACATTTTTTCACATCTGAAACGCAGTTATTTTCACAAGTTGAAGCTTCAAATTAAAAAGCAATATATACTTAAGTTATATACCTTTCAACAGCTCTTGAAGAAATTGGGTCTTGACCAATTGTACCCAGGAACAACCGAAGTTACTGGTGATGAGTTCACGGTTGAGGAGCTTGACAAGGGACCTAGTGCTTTTAAGTGTTACCTGGATACCGGTCTTATGCGCACCACTACTGGTTCCCGAGTCTTTGCTGCCATGAAAGGAGCAGTTGATGGTGGCCTTAACATCCCACACAGGTCAATATTCCACTGTAATAATATTTTATTTGTCTTTTAAATATTTTTTTTTTTTTTTTTTTTTTTTTTTTTTTCTCCAAATTTAATGTGATGAACAACTGACACATGCGCGTCATCTGAGCCATCGTAAAGACTTCCCTTGTACTTGTGTTTTACAATTGCAAGGTGAAACTTTACACCGGTGCAACGAGATTACAAAGTGTCTCTGATTTACTTTAAAATTATAATTATTTATATTGCTAGTACTGTTTGCAAACAGTAAAGAAAAACTTTATTTACAGTGTGAAGAGATTCCCTGGTTATGATACAGAGACCAAAACTTTGAATGCTGATGTCCATCGTCAGCACATCTTTGGACTGCACGTTGCCAATTACATGAGGACTCTCGAAGAGGAGGATAACGACCAATTGAAGCGTCAGTTCTCAAGGTTTATCAAGAATGGAGTTACTCCTGACAGCGTAAGTTTCAATGCTCTTTTGATCCGTCCAATTTAATTACTGTAGTAGCTGGCATGGTTCTGCAGTGTCGCAATTGGACCATAGCAAGACGTCAACTAACAAAATTTGTGGATTATACTAATTCACAAGCTTAGTTTTCGTGATATTCCTAAACACTCGTACAGTTTAAGCTGCGGGAATCCAATACATCTTTTTATTTGGTACTTTCAGATTGAGTCCATGTACAAGAAGGCTCACGAACTGATCCGCGCTAATCCCGATCCAGAAAAGAAGGAGAAGAAGGAACCTGTCAAGAAGAAGAGATGGAACCGTGCCAAGCTGAGCCTCTCTGAACGCAAGAACCGCGTTGAACAGAAAAAAGCACATTTCTTGAAGAAACTCGAGAGTGCTGAAGCTTAAATTCCATTTATTATCTGTAAAGTGGATCCATCGGTCTGAGAGTAATAAAATATTTAAAATCGAACATTTGTTGTAGTTATAAAATCCATTATCATTAAATGATTTACATTATTTCTATAACACAAGTCTTATTATTTTTCTCAAATATTACTGTCATACAATAACAAAACTTGAAAAAAGAGTCTACAGCGATAATTTGACAAATCTTGCTTAGAGAATATTATTATTATGGGTTAGGAATGACAGTGATCTATCTGGCGATGTAATAACACATCAGATAAACACGCATGGTTTACAATTTTTTTAGTAATAAAATTCCTGCACCCAAATGTCGAAGTCAGATTATTTTTGCGGATCAGTTGGTGTACCTAAACAAAACTTTGCTAAAGTATCTAAACCATGCATTTTTCAATAATTAAAAATTACAGTCCCTAGGTGACAAAAACATCAGTACAGACTCATTATTTCTTGGCTTGAAGGATAAATCCAAGCCGTTTTCCAACACGAAATGCCGGCAACGCGATGAAGCCGAACGAGAACACCTGAAAGAAGTTTGGAGTGTCCAGCAAGTTCCAAAAAAATTTGGTAAAAGTAAGATTAGCGAACTATTTTCCTGAAAGGTTAAACGATAAACATGTGTGATTTGCAGAAGGTTTGTCGAAACCCTCGGTTATAGTCGAGAAATTACTGTTCATAAGAAAATCCGAACATGAAACTGCGGTCAAACACTTACAACGAGAATTGGACGACTTGCGGAAAACATACGAGATGGAAATAAACGGTTTGCGAAAAAATTTACAGAACGAAATCGACCAGATTCGCGCCGAAGTGGAAATTAAAAAGAAAAGCTTTTGCGAAGTAAGTGTTGACCGGCTCCCAAACGCCTGATCGCGTATGATTCACGCAAATTTTTCTCAGCTTTCCTGCTTGAAGGGCGAAGATTACCAGAAATTGAAGAACGAAATAAATATACTCATGACGCAAGAAAGATCGGCCATCGACGAAACTTTCGAGCTCATCAATAGTGTAGAGTCTAAAACTCAAAGCGACGCGGTGCTGGTGTTCAAAAAGCACAATGATGTTTTACGAGAACTGTTCTACCTACAACCCTGTGAACTAAACAAGTTGATGGAGAAAAAAATCATGGTACCTATGATGTATAATCGATGCAGAAAAGAGATCGAGCGTCGGTCACAAATTGATAACTTGTTTTCACGATCAGGAGTACAATCAAACGACCCTGAGCAATTACAAAAGGTACGAGGATCTAAAGCTGAAGCTGCGCCTGTCAGCCGACGCGTTCAAGAAAAATTACTGTGTCTGGCTGAAAAGAACGAGAAAGGACAGAAAAGCGGTTTGCCGGAAAAGCGCTTTGCACGATTTCAACGTCGAGCGCGAGAAATTAAAAAACGCCGGCTCAGAGTACCTCAGGAGCATGGAGGGGACAGCCGCTCTGTGTCGCTTGAAAAGCAGGAAAACCGTCATCTCCGAGACGATTGGCCAGTGGGTCGTGTCCGTTCCCTATCCTGAGTCCAGGCTCCTCCAACAATCCGAACAACTCGATGTCGTTATATCATCCCTGGGTAACGGAGCAAATTCCCATTATTTTTCAGCAATAAAATTACCCATGTATAGGTAATTTATGGAGCAGGAAAAATTTTCCAGACTCGACGATCGGAGGGTTCATTGACTCCTACAACTGCCACATGTCCAGACGCGCTGGTAGATTGCTAAAGAAGCTGGATCGTTTGAAGGCGATCATGGGAACGGATTTCGACGGAGACGACGAATGCAGAGCCGCCGAAGAGAGCTGCAGCAGAGCAAAGGAGGCGATTGACGACTTCGTCTTGGAATTGAAGAGCATTTGGAGTCGGGACATAAAAATGATCAACGAGAGAGCCACCGAAGCCTTGAAGCCGTTCCGAGATTTCGGATCTCCCTGGGACAAGCAGTCCTTGAGCTTTGTGAATTTGCAAGAGAAGGTGGCCCTGCAGCTGCAGAGTAGAGCAGCAACGAACGCGTTGGGACATGGCGATTTGCTGAACAAAGTCGGTGCCGAGGTCGACACCCTGAGACAGGAAGAAAACGTGCCAAAATTGGAAAAGAGATTAGTTGTGGTTCTTTCAATCTTGGATCAAAAAAGTCGAAAGTACGGCTTCTCCCTTTTTTTTTTATTTTCAATAAAATACATATTAGTACGGTAAGTATATATATATACCTGGTACGTAAATTTGTTTCCTCTCAGGTATCAAAATGACTTCAACGAAGACGTCAAGATAATTAAAAAGTCCAAGGAGCTCGTGAAAAAGGAGCTCAGTGCCATGCAAAGTAAAATCGACAAGTTCCTCCAAGCCAACGACAACGAACCAACGAAAGTTGTCTCTGAAACCAGTAGCCGCGGATCGTCCTGCGATTCGATGGAGGACGGCTATTTGTGCGACGAAGTCAATCTCGAGGAACTCATTGTACGCGAGCTTCGACTCGTTGGCCGACAAGTCGAGTCCCTCGATCGATGGAAAACCGAGTCCGCAGCTCTCCAACGGGTTTTCGTTACCTTTTTCCAGCGTGTGGGTCAAAATAAATGAAAAAAATATACGTTTTGCTTCTAGACTCCTGAAAAACATTTCTTCGTGCCAGTCGTTCTTCGAAAACGACTTTGCCCAAGTGGTTGAAAAATGGCAGGAAGAGTTGATAGACGACGCGTCCTTGGGCCTAAAAGGCGATCTCGAAGCTGTGGAAAAAATGCGGGAAGACATTCGTGAAAATACCTACGAGACTCGTTTGCACGAGTTGGAGCAGCACCAGCAGCAATTAGAGAAGCACAACAAAGTACACGGCTATATCTTTTTTTTTTTTTTTTTTTTTTTTTTTTTTTTTTTTTTTTTTTTAAATAAACAAGCAACATTGTTCGGGTACTTTGCAGATGATCGTCGGTTTGATTAGCGAGTCGTCAAAGTGCGCGGCCGATTTCTTGCGCTTCACGGACGTTTCCGAGGAATACAATATCCGAGCTCTGCAGATGCTCGAGGAGTACGGCTCGAAAATCAAGCACAGCTCCCAAACAAAGTGTTTGCGCAATATGGTGTGAAAAAGTTTTGATATTACATGGATGCAGGGTGATGAGCATATACATTTTTTTTTTTTTTTTCTTTAGTTGAAAGGCTTGAAAGAAAAGTACAAGGGCAAAGTCGAGCTAAGAGTTGACGGTGTGGTGAAGAGGATGACGAGAAAAATATGCATGATGAAAAGAAGCAACGAAGCATTCGTCGATGCCATCACGTGGGTATACGTTTACCTGTCAGAACTATATACAGGTGACAATAATTATATTTTGTAAGTGCAGATTGTTCGCGGACGGTGGTAATTATAGTAAAGAGGAATTGAAAAAAGCTCAGACTGGAATGGGTGTGCTGTTGAAAAAGATTCAAAAGGACGAATCGGAGGGTCGGCAAAAAATAAAAAAGGCCCAAGATCTCGCCAACGCTCAGATGAATGGCATTGAAAAATCTTACTTTGAAAGGTTCGCTGATGTTTTTGGTTTTCGTTGTCACATTGATTTTAACATTTTTTTTTTTTTTTTTTTTTTCAGTTTAAGCGTTACAGAGCGAAAATTAAAATTATTGGAAGACGTGGATAGAGCTATGGTAAAGTGCGAACATCTCGTAGAAATGAAAACAAAGGAGCTGATTGACGCGGATGACAGAATTCGAGAAGAAATAGTGCGTTTTACAGAAAAATGTTACGATCGATTACCACACGATGAAATAACTGCACTATTGGATCGATTGGCGAACAAAGTGAAACAAGCTTTTCATTTTGTTCAGGGACCTTTTCCATCAGTTAATAGTAAGTTGAGGAAAATAAAAAGACAAAGAAACAGAAATCAGTGGTAAATTAAAAATGTTATCCACGTTTTTGTAGTACCGAAAAACTTGAGTGAAACCATGAACACGGTAAGAAATAATACCACAAAGCAAAAGAATCCTAAGAAGCAAAAACATGAAGTACCTCAGGTTGTGGACAGCAACATAATAGAATATGACAAGGATAATTTTGCCTCATCTGTAGTCAAATTCGTTCGCGACGCTTTAAGTGTTATCAACAGCAAAGGAATGGTAAGCCTTTGAAATAGAAACACTTGAATCAAATAAATCGTTTAATAGCGAATATTTAATTCTTTAGGATTTTTACTCCACTTTAAAGAATAAAAAGGAACATTTGTCGTTCCCTGATAAAAATAAAATTTGCGAGGAATCTTTCGACAGTGCTCTGGGGCGTTTGAATACTCTGTGTGATACTGTTTTCAATTTTTGGACCTTAGAAGCTAAAAGTAAATATATTAAAAATGTAAAAAAAACGTGGTTATAGGTACTTACTTTGTATTTTGTAGGGATTTTGGATTTTGTTCGTACCTTAGAAATGCCATCATTAGAATGGTATTTGGAAGATGAAGTTGAATCAAATGAAGAAGAACAGTCAGTTAAAACGACTACTACAAGTGAAAGTGATATCAATGTTTATGTTAGCACAAAAATTGACAATACTTTTACGGAGTTTCAAGTAAAGTCGCTTTATTTCATTGAAATAATAATGTTTTCTTTGATTTGATCAATTTCTTTTTTTCAGAATACACTCCAAGAGATGTTGAAATTGCTTCAGTCCAAATATACATCATATGAAAATTCTGACGTTGAGAAAAGTTTGAAAGAGAATACTATATCAAATTAAGCGTAAATTTCTTTGTATTCTACAAAACATGTTTTACACAATTCGGCAATAATAATAAAAAAGTCTCGCTCAAACAAATACTTGATTCACACGTATCCTTTTTTCAGTCAATTAACAAGAGACAATAACAGAAAAAATAATTGAAACAAAATAACTACACTTACGGAATACCAAAAAATCAAAGGCGTTATATTATTCTTTTATTTTCTTTTTTTTCTTTTTTTTTTTAGTAATTTGTAAGTCCCGATTACTTTTACGACTTAGTCAACAATGAAATACTTTGGGAAAAATATTTTAATAACATGGACGCGCTTCTTCTCGATTTATTAACGAAAAAGCGACAGCCGGCTTCGTGAGCCGGGAACGTGTCCATGTGCATCTAAAAGACCAGCCTGGATGTCCGTGATGGAAGGCACGTGTCTGACTTCACCGCGAGCTGCAACACTTGGTGGTGACTTAAGTAGGCGACGTGCCACTCTGACGATATCGTCCTTTGTTGTATTTTCTAAAATCAGGCAGAAAAGTTTATCAAGTTAGTGCTTCTTCATTATTGTTTTGTATTGAAAAAAAAAAATTTTTTGCTGACCAATTGCTTGAATAAAATATTCCGGACGTTTCCTAACGCCAGTTGCTAACACTTGTCTCCCTATGTCTTCGAATACAACCGGTCTTTGCTCTAAATTCATCAACAACATTGATTGTAGCTGTTTTTTAGCTCTCTGTAAGTAAAGAATGAATTTTAAAAACATGATAAAATCATTTTAATTTTATTTACTGCATTTTTCAATGTAAACTCTTACAGCTAGTTCACTATCAGATAAGGCTCCGGTCATTGCAACCAATTCATGGACAATAACTTCAGCCATTTCTTTGACGTGCGATGGAGTAGACGACGCATGAATACAGAAGAGACCGGTATCAGTGTACGAGTGATTATATGCTGTAGCACTGTACAACCAGTGGTATCTAGAAAATTTTGTTTCGTTATAATATATTTATTTGTGGATTAATTGGTTAATTTTGCGAGTTGAACAATTAATAACAAACCTGTTCAAAACATTTGTGTACAACCGCGTGTACATGCCTTTACCGGGTCCACCGGCGCTAAAACTGCCACCTCCACCCATCATCATATTAAGAACACATACAGGAACAAAGTCAGGATCCTGATGCGAACAACCCTCAAGCCCTATGACGATGTGGGATAATTCAGGTAAACCACTTGGTCCAGCATAAACCGGTACATTACATTCCTCCTATAAAGTTAAAATATTGAAAAATAATTTTTTAAAAATCGAATGGACGAAAAAAAAAAGAGAAGATGTTTACCACAATGTAACCGCCAGTATATTGTGCAATTGATTCATCAACAAAGTTTTTCGATCGATCAGATATGATGAGACTAGGATCTTCTTCCCATAATGGTTTCTTGTTAACAAAGTGCCTGTAAAACAATGTTACCGAATTATAAAATGTTTAGGTAAAAAAAATAAATAATATTCACTTTTCAACCGATTCCACCAATTTTTTGTGATCTACACCAACACCAGCGACAACCATTCTTTGGGGTGTATAATGGTGTTTTAAATAAGTAAACAGAATTTTCCTGTCTATTTTATCAACATTCCCCTCTGGACATATTTTCGGTAAACCTATAGTATTATCTCTGTATGCTGCCTATAAGAAATAATATTTCATTGTTGTAAATGACACAATGGAAATTTATTTTTTTTCACTAAAAATGTTAAAAAAAAAAAAAAAACATACCGCATGAATCATATCCGTGAGTATAACGTCTTGCTCTGGTCTTGTAGCAAGGGTTTCCAGTTCAAATTGAATGACTTGCCTTGCAATATTTACCTCTTCTTCCGTTATTTGGGGCCTTAAAATAACGTCTCCCAAAATTTCAGCAACTTTATCCAATCCATTTCTTTCTACTGATGAAGCATATATAAAGGTATCTCTGGAAGCTTGGCAGTCACATATACCCCCATGTTTTTCCATTTCGTTCATAATGTCATCTCTATTTTTAAACGACGTGGAAGACTATTGATTGATTCGCGGATTAATATGCAAATATGTTTTTAAGAAATCAGAAAAGTCGTTATTAATTGTAACTTACGTTAAAAGCTAGCTTTTCAAGAAAGTGAGATATTCCACTTGGATATGCGACCTCATAACGAGAGCCAGAATCAATCAAAACTGTAAAATTTATTTTTCAATTGAGTAAAAATATGGCTCTCACATAATTAATTATTTTTCATTACCTCCTACAGTGCAAAACTGTCCAAAACGATTTTCAGATGCAACTCTTAAACCACTTGGTAATGTTGTAATTTCTGTTACTTGTTTATCCTCTTTGGCACTTGAATATATTGGAGTAGGTAACCCAGGTAATGGTTCTGATAATGGTGGAAAAGAAGTGATCGATGGCTTGTCTGTCTGAGTTGACTCTGGTGTTTTGACTGAAGTTGCAAATCCATATTTTTGCAGGAGATGTTGAAATTTGTTCTGAGTTCCACTATTAACAAAAATAATCAGTGGTGTAGTCATACAATAAACCCACCTGATGCAATGATATTCGTTGTAAAAAAAAAAATTGTTCAACACTGCCACAAGTAATTTAAAAAACTCGTCATGAAAATTGTGGTCGTTCGAGAAACAATATCACTATTACCATTAATACCACAGATTTTGTTTGTTAAATTGCACATTTTTAAAAATAGATTAAGGTTAGCTCTGGTGAAAAATACCGCAAAAAAGAATTAACGAAAGATCCTCACCTATTTTTTAGGGCTGCAGTTAGCGGAATTGGGCTGCTCCTCACCAGCATTTTGATTCTTAATCTATGCGATTTTTTTTATTAAAATATAGACAACTTACACATTTAAACGAAATTTTTTTCTTATAAAAAACGAGTGAGAGGGTAAGAGGGGAGTTTATCTCGAGACAAACAACCTTTTTTACCGACAGAGTCGTCGGTTGCCGCCTTCTATTGCACTTTATTTTTGGCTCTTTTGTGCAGTATACTTATACTCTCTCCTGAGCAATTTATCCAGAAAATAAGTAATGTGTGTTTTTATTATTGTTAATCAAAAATTTGCGATAAAGTGTCACGAATGACACAATCAGATATTTTATTTACACGATTCGAAAGGTATGTTTTACATACCTGTTGTGTGATAATCATTGGTGATCGAAAGCAGGAAAGCGTAGTTACACAAAATGAAAAAAACAAAAGAAATACATATCATGAATGTATGAGACTTTTTTTTCAACAATTTTTTTATTTTTTTGTAAGAAAAACACCCGTGAAGACTGAAAATGTGTGCAATGCACATGGTACAACTATGTATATTAATTAAAATTTTACTCTCCCAAGGTAAGTATATTTTTGCGCACAAAAATATCAAAAACCTTGTTAGTCACGAGATGTCGCCCACTTAACTGTTTGGAGGGGCCAAAAATTCATGTAAAATTAACATTCTATTCACCTTCCTTTACTCAACGTAATAACTGTGTTAACGTAATCATTATGAAGTTTCTAGATATTTGGCCTCACAGCTCATTCAACAACCCTTCCAGGATAGCCATAAATAATTTCCGAGAATAATTACATAAGACGCGAGTGAAGTACCGCTCTGGAGCAACCACAGTCAAGTCCTTCGATAGCCGTGATCGTCTAGTGGTTAGGACCCTACGTTGTGGCCGTAGTAACCCAGGTTCGAATCCTGGTCACGGCAATGTCCCTGCGACATTGTCACGGTGGAGGTTTTTTTTACCATTTTTTTTCGTTTCTTTGGAATTTTTTAAACAAAATGTTTGATGTACAAATTTTTTATGATTAAAAATTGTTTACTTTTTGTAGACACATATTGATTACCATTGGACAGCAGTGGCCTGTTTCAGAATGAAAACTATCGTATTTGTTAGTGTAGACTTGATTTAAATTACCCCGTAAGGGTAGAAAAAAAAAACTTAATTAAGTCCTTAAAGGCTTTTACAGCTCGTAAGTATACATTGTGTTACTTAGCAAAAGGTAATCATTTTAAATACTATTTCTCAATTTCCTATTGATTCCATCAATTATATGCGCAATCAGACATTCTGATCTGAAGTTGTCAAAACCCAAGTAATCCTCCTTCAAATCTATTTTCATATCATTTCATTAAGATCTGAATAAAGAAAAAATTTATTTTGCCCGTAGATACCGATCTTGCAAAATACATACGGATGCCTTTTCGCAAACAACAAAGGGAAGCTTGGCACACATCCTGAACGCACACAACTACTATTAATTGCATTTTTATCGGCACAGTCTACAAACCTCATGGGAGAGAGGCACATGGCTCTGAGTATAACATTGGAACTCACTCAGCCGTATCGCAGGAGAGGAAAAAGAAAAAAAAGGCTACGCTTCCTAGACACTGGCGAGAGAATTAGCCTATTGCTCGTAAGTATATGTACACATGTATACCTACATACCGATGTACTTTTGTAGGAGCCGAAACGGTAAATTTCGTAAGGTAACGGCACACTATGCATGCATACCACTATACACCTCTGTATCCCCTATAGGTCTTATATATCTTCTCTTCTCTTTCTGATGCTCGTCGCGAAACGTCACAGTCCAATCAATGGCCATCGCGATCTTATCCACCGCACAGAGTCGCAGTTTCCGCAGCTTTTTTCTTCAAAGACCACGTTTTCAATCTTGGCTTTTTCGCAATAGGTATGTACAACATAGATACACGCGCCAAAGGAACGACGATCTTTGATCAACCGTGACTAATCAGCGCAGAAAGCTCTGTTACTTTTCACGAACAGAGTATGGTTTCTCCGTGACTTTTAGAGAAATTTCACATCCGTACACGTATTTAGCTTCGAACTGTTGCAATTGTACATACTTTGAATCAAAGCTACGAAGTTTTTCTCTGATAAAATGTCAAACTCCCTCAGCGCTTGTGCGTTTGTTCGAAAACTACAACCTTCGGTCTCAAGGGCTCATCACATACCCATCCTGCAGAAACAATATGCATCGTACTGCACGTATGTATACAAAATTATTTACCAACCGTTTAACTTTTACTCATCCTTGCATCGTGACCAGTGAGAAGAGCAAGTACTTGCAACACAAAAACGCGCGTCCTTGACAACACACGTATACATGTACGTACGTATACCTCTCTTGTATATATACGCAGTCAAAGAACGAAAACACATATATCGGCTTGCGAAAAAATAGAAATAAATTAGCGTGTCGTCGTCTCTAGAGAAGCCTACTGCAGCCACGGCGAGGGAAAATCCGGTCTTCGAGTGGTTAAAAGCGTGGCATTATCTTCTTGTTCTTCCCTCGCCTTGTTTTTCTCTTCTTTTCTCTCTGCTCCCCCTGTATTTTCCTCTATTTTCTCAGCGCTCCGTACACGCGCACGCAATCGGCCCCTTTTGCAACCTTTATGCTCGCTGGCCGCAATACGTACCTACACACGTATAATGTATACCCTCGTCCCGTGGTTTTGCCATTTTTAATCCTGAGAGCCATCACGCAGTTGGCCATTGTTACGTACTTTTTTATTTTAATTTTCAGCTTCACGGTCAAGAGGTCGAGGTGCTTTTGTGCAGACAGAGAGAAAACTCCAGTTTACAGCGGCATAAAAAAATAAGTGTACGCTTATTTGCAAGTTCACCCCGGAGAGGTAATTAATTGTCGAGTAACCATTTTGGTTTCAAGCTTATCTTCGTCTATGAGGAGTAAATAATTACGGATCGTCTGTTCGTACCTGTAATTGTCATCATTCGACCACCGTTTGAAGTAAGTCGTATACGTAATAATTCCAAGATTCCACAGTAGTATAAATAATCACCCGTGCTTTTATACTCCACGCTCCTCGTAATTTATTAAAAAGCAACGTGGAAGAGATTAAAATGCATTGCTGCAGCTATTTTCCTCGAAATAGAGTATAAAATTCAATGCGATCCTTGACGCGTTTCGATACCCTTTTCTCTCGCAAGGAGTGAATAGGCGCGCAGGAAAATCTGTAGCTAACCATATCTGCGCTAAAGAATGATTGGTGGAAAAAGAGGAAAAGCCGAAAGAAAGAGGGAAATAAGTACTTTGCTGCCGTGCACAAGAAAACGACGCGGGAGCAGCGAGTGTGTAAACGTATGGAGCGTCTCGTGGAGGTATATTAGCCGGTAAAGCAACGTACTTACGTACTACAAGGCACGAAGAGGTAATGTAAAAACTCAAAAGAGAGCCTCAAACGTACAGGAAAAGGAGAAGAGAAAGAAAAGTGGGGGCGTCCGGCAAGCAGAGAGAGAGAGAGAGAAATCCGAAGAGCCGCTCTAAAGCTAGCAGGAGGTATATGGATCGTTTCATGAAAAATGCTTTTTTTTCTTGATGGATGAATGTTTTTTAAAAACAAAAAATGAATCCTCAAGTTAGAATTTTGCATCATCGCCTGATTGAAAAAGTCCACCATTTGACCCCCAATTTGCCGCGTGTAATTTAAAAGTGTCCAAATTCGTGGTCACGACTAAACCCCTACGTATAAATACTTTTAAAAGTATATTGTACAGTTATAAAGATTATTACATTATCCTTAAAACACAAGTCGTTACAATATTTAAGAGGAACGAAGAAACGTATCAAATGTCCATAGTCGAGCCAAACTTTACGCGAAAAAATCCATGTATCCACTCATGAACGTTCTCCAGGTTGTCCTCCTGCAGGTATAAGGAGAACGAGCCTCCTGCATCTATGTGTACACACAAACAAACGCTTATATTTACCTGAACTCGCTAGCCATCATCCTCTCCCTGGTGTATATAGCTAGCCAACTCCTGCGAATGCATGCTCTCTCTCACTCTTGGGTAGGATATGAAACACGAGTGTGCGAAATACGTGTTTGGCGGACCAGTGAGCGAGCGCGCGCACCTCCACCGAGCCTCCGCGTTTCGTTCCACGATCGTAGCCCGCCGTGCCGTAGCCGACTCAGTCCAAGCCTCGCTGTCGACCTGAGAGCTTGCGCTTGTACATGTGACGTCGCGTTGTTGGCGGTGTGCTGCAGTCGAGGAGGCGGGTGTACGTATAACGATATCACACCCACACTACGCGATAAACGCCGACGATCCGGGACCCTGTAGGGACGTACGCGGGTGTTAACCGATTTTTGAGATCGGCAAAGTTGACATCGAAATATAACGCCCGAGTGTCTACGTATCCGTGCGCGAATCGTGAGCATATCGGTACACGCGTTGGGGGAAATGTGATTCGATTGTTACACATGAGAAAGTACGACTGGAACCAACTGTTTCGGAGCAGGGGGTGGAATCGATCTTGCGACAGCCCCTGAAAATCGGGAGCCTACGTATAGTACACGCAACGTAGTAAAGTACTCGTGCGTATACACAGCACCTGCAGTGAACAAAGTTAACAGAGCGGGCCTTATGGGTTCGGAATTCCCTGGCCCCTCTATTGTGCTCTCTTCCTTCTCTTCTTCTTCTTCTTCTTCTTCTTGCCTTGTACCTGCGCTTCATCACACGCATGCCTCTTCGATGAGACATCTACGTACCGTACGCATCACAGATACCCACCTGCACTGTTGGACAACGATAGATCGGCATCTTCAGGTTTCGGAGTCACTGTAACGATCCATTCTCAGTGGGAACAAGTATACACGAAGCAGCAGCGCGATGTGCTGTCGTCATCGCTATCGCCGTTCTCTACCGATGCTGTGAACCAACGTGAAAAGAAAAGAATCATCGACTGGTATATAATTTTTTGTTTGTTTGTTTGTTTGTTTGTGACATACTGTTGTTACTCCGTGAAATTTGCGTGCGCGTTGAAATCAATCGATACCCGGTGGCAAATTGTTTATCAACGATAATAACAGCAACAAGGCGCTGCAAGCCTGGAGGCAACCGGTGGTGGTGCCATCGCCTATACTGTGCATAGTTTGTGCCGAGTGCGAGAATTTCGGAGCATTGAATCGAGCAAAGGATCACCACACGCCACGGGAGGATGCGAGCAGCGCTGCTGCACGTCGTCGCAGGTGAACTCACATTACCTATTGTACTCTTTTTATGCGCGCGGTTTAGGTACAGGTATATACACACAATAACGATTTTTTCACGTTTCATTATCCACCCGAGCGTGAAACTCTACAGTCCTCATATTTTGTTTCTTCTTTCGTTGAATGCATGTGTATAGGTAGTCTTCGACGAGGTGTTGTTTTGCGCTTTGAACGTATATTTATACCTATACTAATTTGTGAAATTTCCCCGATTTCAGTGTACCGAATGTGTAGAGGCAAGTGCACGAAACTATGGTAATTTTCGCGCTCGTTACGTATGATGGTATAGATGCACAGTCGCGTGACGCCGTCCTCTCGCTAATGTTCAGCTATACACATATAGGTTTTTATTGGAGAAAGGAAATTCAACGGCATTTCGAATGTACGTGTAAAGCGATCGAAAAAAAAAAAAAAAAAAAAAANTATCAAAAGAACCAAACGTTAATAGCAAACAATAACAGGAAGTATGAAAAAGGTTACGGGTGCCGGTGCCTCTGCGCAAGGTGATGATGATAATGTTCAGTCGTCTCCAGCGTACGCGGAGCATCGGGCCTTTTTTTTTTTTTTTTTTTTTTTTTTTTTTAAAAAAAAAAAAAAAAAAAATTGTGTTGGCAACAAAAAAAAAAAAAAAAAAAAAAAAAAGAGTCTCTTTGATGTTGAAAAATAATGTATCAGCCAACGTTTAACAAGCGATGTTTAACACTAATGACCGTTGATTGAATATTCATGCATCCTACCGCAGATGCTATATTCATTGCGAAACGTTGCGAAAACCGCGAAAACTCCGTTTTGAAAGAAGCCGGAGGAGTCTCACCGAACAAAGTTTCGCGTAGAGAGTGGGACCATCCGCGGTTCACGAGAGAGTTGATTCTCACTTACTGCAGCTATATAGATAAGATTAGAAATTTCGGAACGTGTGTGTACACACGAGTGAGACCACACGTAGAGCAGGTGAAGACAGTGTTTGTCTTTCCTCCCGCTCAAAAGACAGTCACCGAGTACACGGGGGAATAACCAGCTGCAGGGAAGGAAATCGCAGTTGGGAAATGCTTGTGCCAGCTACTCAAACATTGACTCAGTCGAGGTGTATTAATAAAAAAAAAAAAGTGTTAATGGGAGTGATTCTGTATATTGTGTGGTGAATTCATCTCGTGCTGGCAAGATAATACCGATTGTTTGTTTGTTTTCGCGTCGTTGACCGAAAATTTGTCAAACAACCGTATACCAAAATCGTTTATATGTGATCTGTAACTTTTTACAGCTTCAATTAAATATTTCAAAAACGCATACATTGAGGGAAAAAAAACAGCCGTGTGCATTATATTGTCATCGAGATATACCGATCTCGTGACTCAACGAAATTATCATAAAATTGTCCGCGGCGCACAATCGATCCTTTTCAATACACTCCGTACCCTATACGTTGCTGCACGTGCGTATTAACAATTTAAATTACCACGGGTATAGACTACAAAACGTTTTTTCTTTTTTTTGGTACGTCTTCTCGTATGAAATATCCAGACAACGAAATTACCCGCCAACGGTACATTGCCCATCAGCATAACAATATAATGTACACCCGGTGGTGTTCCAAAAATCCAATTAAACACTGAATTCTCGAATTAAATCCTCTTTACAAACACACACACACACACACACATATAACCCGTCAAATGGTACATGTGTACAAAGTCGTGCGGACATACAGGTAGAAGGAGGACCCACAGCAGAGAATAAAGAAGCTGTCCGGCTGCGAAGCCCTTTCTCGGTTCCTTGACCCGCGAAGCCTCCCCCAGAGAAGCACTTTTTTTTTCCTTCCTCTTCATCTCCCCTGGCATGTACAGTACACGATTTCGCTCGCGTTTTCTTTTTCAATACATTACAGACTCCTTTTGGTGTCCCACGTGCAGGATCATCGCCTGGCGTCTTCGTCCTCTCTTGCCATACCTGTGTGACGATTTCGCAGCTTCCACGAAGGCCTCTCTCTCTACACCTACGGGCGCAAATATCGTGACGATGATTCATCTCTCCCTCCCCGGGGCCTCGTACCCGAGAGAGCAAATACACACGGGCCTATGCTTTTTTTTTTTTCAATGGCCACGCTGTACGTTTCAGCGCCGCTCTTGCCCCCTTCTCTCTTTTGTTTTGAATTCGAGGTTGCTCGAGTAACGGAACACCACATATAGCCGGTTTCGTAAAGCCGCCCTCGCACGGGATTACATATTATATACATCGTGTGCGCCGCCCGAACACCATGCTCCCTTTACCTGATGGTTGAGAGTACCTACTATTATATTGTCGCACCTCACAATATTATTATACACTTGGAGTATTTTTAATTTTTCGAGCTCCTATAGCTGCAAATGCTCTAATCACTCTTTTGTCTTGTACTCTCCATCCCCTTTTGTGGGTACAAGCCGTATAGTTGTTATAGCTCGAGTGCCATTTTTCACGTTTGTTACTCTCATTTAAAAAGTAAATGTATTGTATTTTATTCATAGTTTTGTTTGTAGCCACTGCAGTTGTACGAGTGTACTTGCTCCTTACCTGAAACAAAACAAAAAAAAATAGCATACCAAGTATGTCACCTGCTGCCAAACTTTCGCCTCTTTGAAGAGTCTCGCCCCTCGGCATGGATCGCAGGCAACAAAGGCACGGGTAAACACGAAAATCGATTGTTAAGGAAAGGCCCCCTCGTACAGGTGGGTGACGGCTCTAGTCTCCCGTAAAGACGCTAGACCGAGCTTGTTTTGCCTGGGAAATTCTCCCTCTCTCTTTTTTTTTTTCTTCTTCCCGCTTAAACTGCTGAAAAAACCATTGACGAGCAAACGTTTTTTTCCTCCCCCCACAACTATGTATGTATCCACCGCCCATCTTGGCAATGTACGCATATACATATAGGTGTGCAGAGAGTGAAACGAGGAAGGTGTACCCTATATATAGCCTTGGAAAAGTCACGCAAGCCAACGACGCTTCTCTCACTCGTTCCCACGAATTTTCTCTTCACGTCCACCGTCTCTCGCTTTTCGTGATGCTACGTAAGTATTTTAAAGTCGTATAAAATAGACGTGTCCAACGAAATAGTCACGTTAAATTTTTTTATGGGTGCATGGATTTACCACTGTTCCTTTTAGTCTTTCGCTCGCTATTGGAGATAATTGTTTTACCATTACACCGTTTTATTTGGGCCGAAAAACAATTTAATCATAAACTATTGGCAAAATGTAATATTGCCCGTCAATGGCACAATGTATGTACTCTCCTCTCGCGGCCGAGATTTGTTCGCGATAAAACGAATTTAGGAACACACACACACACACACACACACACACACACACACACACACATATATATATATATATACATACAATTACCAGCAGCAGTAACAAAATACACGCTCGGAAAAGCGAGTAGATTAGCGTGTTTTGTTCTCATTCTTGCTCGTATATAAACGTATATATATACAGTAGGAGGTTGTTTGAGTGTTTGTGCATATGTACCTTTACCCGCAAAGTTTAATTAGCCCCGGGGATTGAAGTGGATATGACAGTTTGCGCATACGTGCACGTGAATTTCGTTATGTGTACGGAGTAAGACGATGAATATTCAATTCCGGTGATAAACTGCATGTGTGCTAAAGTATAACTGCGTTTATTACTCCACATGTGCGGATTCGTTAAAAATTCCAGTTATGTACTAATGAATCGATCACCTATCGGCATGATTGTCAGTCAACGACCATATATGGGTTTTATATACTTTTGTCGATAATGCGGGGTATGGATTGGATTTACAATTTTTTTTTCTCACCTATGCGTGAATTTTGTGTTTTTGGTAATTTCAGTACTTTTGCATAATTTAATACCATTTGAGTACTGAGCTCGGGTGTTGAAGCTATTGAAAAATCGTTCCACGCCTGTAGTTCGAATATTTCTCGATTCGTAACAAAGGAAACGTAAGACAACATCGTCCGTAGGTGTTTTTTTATTTTTTTCAATAACTCAGGGCCATTTTCTACCTCTGGCCCCCCAATAAAACCGCAATGCACTGCAGTTAAATGCGAACCATCGAAACTAGAGATTACCCGAGCCGGTATTGCAAAAATCCTTTTTTTTTTTTTTTTTTCTTTATTCTTTCGATTCCGCGACTCGCTCTGACCACCCATACATCTCCCCTGTAAGGGTACGAGCGCGAAAATTACAAAATCGCACGCGTCGTTCGGCGTTGGTCTTTCGTTTGCATGGGTGTACCTTACACAGACACACACATACCCACGTCCGCGAATTGATTGCGATAACGAGTTCGCTTTTTTTCTCTCGGTAAAAAAAAAGTAAGTCCGAAAAACACAAAAGTACGGATACACGCCTTCAATCCACCAAAAAACCACTGCGAGTAAATGAATCACTTTTTTTGCGCAACAATGTAATACAAACAATTGCAAACTCTGTGGTACGCTGATAGTTTAGCACGTGAGGGTGATTATCGCATAACTGGCTATACAGTTTGCGTTTTTTCTTGCCATGTGAAAAAACGATGTCTCATCTTGTTCACAAATTTGTATCAGAAACATATAGGTGTAGGAACATTGCGTTAATAAATAAAAGTTACGTATGAACCAATTGGCCAAACGTGTAGGTATACGTACCATTTTGGCCAGGAAGATGCTCTTTCGGTATAAAACATTACTTTTTGCGGCCCATCGATAATATTGTTGAGGAAAACGAATAAATCACAAACTGTGATCCTCCTGCTCCTGATACGATAAAACATATATTTCGCATGTAACACCCGATTTTTCATAATTTCAAAATTTCCTTCATCTCTTCGCAGTACACTCGGACGTACAAAAAAAAAAAAAAAAAATTCATAAGCGTATCCAGTTTAGTTACCAATACACACATGTATAGTCATGACGAACCGTGTATATACTTACATTGACAGGTCAACGCGAACTCCTATACATCAATCGGCATTATATT